CGTCGAAAACTTCCAGGAAACTGCATAATCAGTGAGCTTCATCTTGTGTCATCAACCATTCTATAATTTTCTCTCTTCTATAGACCTATCAGTGTTTTCTTCAAAATTATCTTCAATGTATTTAAATTTAATATGATTTCTTCAGGACATTAGGGCATGCTACATAGTTAATTTTATTCGTAGATCGAATATAATTAGATCTGGCGCATTTATACTCCTACCAGGGGCGAAGCCTTTGTGTTGGAGGTGTCAACCCGGCTTCTGTCTTAATTTTGTGGTTCAGTGGAGTACCACTTAACCAAGAAAGTAAGAATGTAACACAGCAGAATCGATCGGATAAAATGCATCGTTAGCCAGCTCCAGCCAGCCAGGCGCTCGCTGCGAGCGTACCCCTTAGCTACTTGGCTAACGACGGGCAGGCTACCTCAGACAGCGGCCAACGTCCAACAAAATAACTCCGAGTAATGAATCGGACGTTGTCACAGCCTTGTTTAGAATTGTGAGCGAAGGGGACCAGACAGTCGGAAATCTTGATGAAGTCCTTCCAGTTCTGTGGGAACAGTGGAAGTTGCAAGTCACGTTTACAGCGCCCTCACTTTCATCCCGCCAGAATGGCTGCACAAATACTTCACACTTCTCTCGCCATATCTTACACACCAAAACCTGCAACAACTTTTATTTTACAGAATTGATTTCTGTTAGTCGTGATTGAACGAAATTGCAACATAAGTAATTTTGATGGGGGTGAACAAATTATTCTTGCTCGCCTTTATCACAGCCCAACTAATGGACGAGCCAAACACGAAAATTTAACAAAATTCTACGCCACTTATAGAACCCAACGTTTAAGATACCGAAATTTCTGATATTGCTTTCTCAAATAAGCCTGGATATTCCTTTTGTAAGTAATCTCTTTTGACGAAATTCTCCAAATAATATGCAGGATGCATTTTGTTTTCTTGTTGCGTGCTACGTCCGCTGCCAATCCCAGTTTCTTTAATTCCAACACCATGATAGGTACTAACCTGCAAAATATCTGGCTGTTCCTATTCGATCGTGGACCCGTACATTGGTAATATTCAGGGATATTACTTATTAGTCCCTTACAGTGGGCTACGACTACTTAACGTGTTTTTTAATTCATCAGATTCGTCATTCATATTAACTTTCTCATTTGTATATCTTCATATACTCCATTAAGT